CTTAATTTCGCCACAATGCAATTATTTTTGTTTTGCGCAACTCGCAAATTTGTTACATAATTATTTTTTTTATGTTCTACATGGCTTCGTGTCTATCTTCGTGTGAAATAATAAATAAATGAATTTTTTCTTTTGTGAAAGAATTATGAATGCGTCAATAAAAAGAATTCATATTTGACGGGCTAGGCTTATTTGAAATAGAATGGAAGAGCAGTTGCCATGTTTCAGCAACTGCATTTGTTGAAACGGTTTCAACGTATCAGTTGTTTCAACGTTTGTTGAAGCAAATGCTACGTTTCAACAGCCAGTCAGAATTCATACTCGTGATGTCGTTTATTGCAGGCAAAATATGTCCAACTTATGTTTGAATTTATGTGATTTTATATAGGAAGTAGATTATTTTATGGTGATCTGTAATGTTAGTTCACGGATTTTATAGTATTTTTCATACAGTATATAAAATTCAAAAATACAATCCGTATGTGTTTGAATTGCTTGGCAAAAAATGAATAAATCAATTTCAACTGATTAGAATGATACACAGCGTGTTCGAAAGCTTGTACAAGTCAGTGCAACATTTACCGAAAATACGAGGAATTAAAAGTTCCTTATTGTATTCACAGGGAGGGATCGACATTATTTCTTGCTATCTGATTATCTTTTTTGCACGGAGTACTGCTAAGGGGTAAATGCATAAATTTTGTGAAATAATCAGCGTTTAAAATAAAAACAATTCTTAAATCTTTTTTTACAGTTAATTATAATATTATGTGGCAATATACTTTTAGTTATTTGATAAAACGTTAAATTTCTTGCTAGAAATTTATTTTTGATACAAAATTTTTATATCGACTAAAAAAAGATTGTATTACTTCATTTAAGAAGTTGAATTATTTCACATAAGTAGTTTTTACAACCTTGATGTGCGTTTTCGCTGGTTGGAAGAAAACAAGAAAAAAAAACGAAACAGAATGCACTGCTAAGGACATTTTTCGAAACTTCCGACGTCACATTAATTTACACATTAGTGAATAATATGTTATTTTCCAAACTGTCATGGTACTTTTTAACATGGTACAAACTGAGTTGGTACTGGTTATTCATGACTAGCAAGTTGAGTTTTATTCTCTCTACCAGTGCACTCTAATTTTGAAAATGACTAAATATAAAACCATATTAATCATATAATTCCACTTAAAGTTCAAATCATTCAAAGTGGGTGTTATTTAATTTTCGTTGGTGCAAGAGTTTCGTAAAGCACGGTTAGCATGATTTTGTCAAGAAGTATGACGGCGAGATTTGCCGGAAAATTTGCCAAGTATAGTAGCGGTTTCTGCTATCTTTGGAATTGTTTGTCTTAACTTTAACTGCAATATATACATGGAGAGCCACGATGGCTCAGGGGATAGAGCGTTCACTTTCTAATAAGGCGAACCGGGTTTGAATCCCAGTCGATACGAATTCCGCATCCGGCTTGCACCGAGCAAAGTGCTGACGTGAAATATCCTAAGTGGTAGACGGGTTACAACCCCCTTGCCGTCAGGCTAACCGTGGGAGGTTCTTGTGGTCTTCCTCTCCATGTAACGCAAATGAGGGTTAGCTCCATCAAAAAGTCCTCCACGAAGTCAAAATTTCTCTCAATACTCGATCCAAGAGTACCCTTGTCTTCTGAATTGGGTTAAAATTACAGAGATGAACATTAGTAGTCGTAAACCCATAAGATTAGGTCGGCACTGTTCAGCGACGGTTATAAAATAAAATAAAATAGATACATGCACTCTAGTTTTAACTTTAGAATAGGTTTCCAGAAGACTCAAACTATTTCAACACTTTAATACAATTTATGAAGATTTTTAAAAGTTAGTTGAGTAATGTTTTGCAAAGTGAAAAAAATCTGGCTCCTGTACAGTTGATTATTATCCTTGCAATCTAAACTTTCATTGAATCTACCAGACACTGCTGCAAGATTGCATATGTTTTCCAATGGAAAAATTATGTAAAGAATCTTCTGTTTTATTTAATATAATAAATATTATTTTTTTTTCTGCTTCACCATCTCAATACTTTTTGAAAAAGAGTACTTGCTTCATCACTTGCAGATTTCTCAACTTAATTGTAATTCCCTGTTGAAAAAAATTTAGTTGAATAATATTAAGGTCAATCGTCAGTATAAACCGTTACTCAGCACTCTCGTATGCCCTAAATAGGGCGGGTCGAGATACAAATAAACTCATACTTACTCAGTACATTCCCTAATTTATAAATAAAGCGATATTGACTGAATAAAATGCATAAATTTTAAATAATCACCTGGAGTTTCTGTACATTCTAAATGGATTAAAAATGCATGAAAATATTTCATAACTAATTTGTCTACAAAGCTTTTCCATTATTCTTGGTATACATAGTTATTTAAAATTATTTTTGAATATTTTGAAATCCAAGGGTTTAAAAATATGCTTCAATTACATTAATTTTTTTATAAAAACTATAGACAATGTTTTAACCTATCTCGAACTTATTTTTTAATGTATAAAGCTACTTTTTCAATACCTTACATTTAAAACTTATCCTTGTAAAAATTTAACTCCCATAGGAATTCGGATTCATTTTAAAGCGAAATTTTTTTAAAACCACAAATGAACATTTTTCACGTGTAATGTACAAAAGATTGGAAGAAAATGATGCATTGCTTCTTGCATTGATAATAAATTTTTGAACCTTTTAATTTATTCTACAAGGAATAAATCAAACTGTTTGCGCTAAAAACGACTCAACATAGAACTATTAACCGTAAACAAGATCGAACTTTTCAAAAGGAATATTAAAGAAAACTTAGAAGATCATATTTCTACATTAATCTCGCGTTCGAAAACTGAGTAAAATGAAAATTTTCTCTTTTCCAATTCCATTATCTAAAATATTTTAAGCTCATTTCTTTAAAAAAATGTAGTTTACTCAGTTTATTTCGGGAAAGAATGCGAATTATTATTTAAGATAGGTTATTCATCACAACCTAGAGGTTAGATTTCTTTTTTTTTTAAGTTTATTTATTGAAATGGAGTATGCGGTAAAAGATTGCTTCACAAAAGGTTTTGTTCTACACAAAAGGGGGAAAAAGAGAAAATGCGCGTAAGAAATGAGATCTAGTTAGTTTAAGTGCTTTGCAACTTTTCTAGGGAAGCTTTTAAAGTAAGGCTTTCTTTAAATCTAACCTTTGGGATGCGGTTAATCTAGAAGTTGCTGTTTTTTAAGCATATGATAAATGATAGTTTTATTCAGTGCCTGACTGGAAAAGATGGATCTAATGTGTTATGTGAGATCATTTCGTATTTTCAGTTTTAGAGAAATATCTTCATCCTCTTATTTCAAGAATGTTTATCTTGTTCTTAAAATTATCCTTACCTTTAAATTTTTGTAATTTACATTTTTTTATGAAACTTTAATTTGCATTTCTTGTGATTTATAGCTGGAAACTAAATTGAAGCAGGTATATTTGAAGCAAAACTTTACTAAATTCAGCTTGTTTTTCTATATTTACTTAGTCGGGAAACTATTGGAATTTGAAATTTAAATGTATTTATTATCCTTAAAGATAGTTTCAGTCACATCTTAATGTAAAAATAATTAATTATTTTTGAATTACAACTTAATTTAGTCATTTTTATATTGCAATATATTTCCATGGTTTTGTTATTAACTTTTACGAATTTCTTCTCTGCACTGCATAGAAATAAAAAAGTACTCAAACTAATGAGGAAATAAAGTCAACGAGTATAAGTATGAATCTTTACTATATTCTTAAAAGAGCATCATTTTTAAATTACAATATATTTTCATGCAATTCTTATTCACTCTTAGGGAATTCTTCTCTGTATTGCAAAGAAATAAAAAGTACTCAAGCTAATAAAGAAATGAAGTCAACAAGTATATGTATGCATCTATAATATACTTTTATAAGAATGACATTCCTTACTCATATTCCTTACATGTACTTTTTACATGAAAAAATCAGACTAGCACAAAAATCTAGTTTCAGAAATGGATATTACTTCTGTACATGAAATATTACAGGCGGTTACAAGTTTGCCATTGACTTGTAAAGCCTTTTAAGTTTTATCTATTGCCAAATTGTAATTCAAATGGGAATAGATCTGTGGCGTAACTACCACTACAATTATTAAACATCAATTCAGTATTATATAAGACATGCCAACTTGATTCGATCAAGAGGTACCTTTCGATAGATGAGGGTTGACATTGTCGATAACTCCTCCGCCCACAGATCTTTCTATCAGCTGGTGACGTTGTATTAGCACGGTAAAAAAATCCTGATCAAATTATGGTAAAATACACCGGCACACAGGATGTCATACATTTTACCGTAAAAACTATTTTCACCGGAGCACGAGACGAAGAAAATCTGATAGACTGCAATTTTTACAGTAATTATTGCTTTAAAGTCACTAAATATCTAATCAAATATATATTGCTGCAGATATTACGGTACAATACTTTACAGTAAAAATGGATATTATTTTAAAATGGATTTGACGTATGATGTACCCAAAGTGCCGCTACTTTATATCGTAACTTTATTCTAAATTTTTTACAGTGTACTTTTTTACCAGTTTTTAATTAAAATCTGATTGTGAGGGTCTTCGATTCTCTTTATCTGTCAATAGAAACTAAACGTCAATAGAATCAATGGACCCTCTAAAGTTACAAAACGTATAAATTAGTGAGTTTTTCATCTTCAGCAAACATAATTTCAAATTGAATCGAAACTTTTATATAGAATTTAAAGCTCTGGTTAATTCGAGCAAATCTTATAAAGTATGGTTTCAATAACTTTTATGTATTGTTAATGTTATAGTGATAAAGAAAAATATAAAGAATTTTCAAATGATATGCTTTAGATAAGTGCAAGTTCAGTCAAAATAAACTATTTCTAACACATTGGTTATTTCAGTTTAAAATTTTTGTTAAGGGTTAATTACCTATAGCTTTTTTCCAACGAATAAGAGGCTGAGGATATCCTTCTGCTTGACAATCAAAGGTGACTGATTCTCCTACGACTGCTGATGCATCCACTGGTTCAACTCGCCATCTTGGAGGTACTATCAGATAATTATAGATTCTTATTCAATAATATATTTTTACAATCACAAACTATCATTTTATTAAATAGGTTATTTTTAAGCGAGGTGTTTAAAATTAATGAGGAATAATTAGAATGTGATTAAATTGATTAGTTCAAAATAAAATTGTTACATTTTGAAATATTTTTCTCGGAAAATACAAATATTGTTTGTTTTGTCTATATTTTGTGGATATCTCTGTAAACTCTTTTAAAACTGTTAATTATCAGATGATGAGGAAAGAGATAAATATCGTACATCTTGAAATGCGAATTACTTCATACTTAAAACTGTGCAAAGGGAATGGTGACTTCAAAAAGTAAGCTAAAGAAATTTTAGAAAGTATTAATGTGATGCTTGAAGGGTAAGTATTAGCAATTTTGCAAATTAATTTCAAGGATCATTAGTAGATGACCTACTTAGTACCACACGATATTTATAATAACTTTTTCTGCCGCATGTCAGATAGTTTACAACAGTCTGCTAGATTGCAATTGGTGATAATTTTGAAAATACTATTCGTAAAAGAGCACTGTTTTTATAACAATGCAGAAAATACTGTATTTTCTAAGTCAGTAACACCATCTGTTGATGAACTTCATATCTGATATTTCCTGTTATTGTAAAACTATTTTGTTTACTTAAGAAAAATGCAGCAAGCTGTACATTCCTATCTTCTCTGATTGAATTTTCAACTTATAGTTCATTTCAAAAAATAAAATATTCATTTAAAAAAGTAGAAATCAAATTAAATAAATAGATTTAATTTACATTTTTTTTTCTTTCAATATTTGAAACAGAAAAAACTAGATTTTCGGAAATTTAACAATATTTGCAGGTTTAGAGAACGAATGAAATTACTTTATACTAGTGAGGAATTTAATAGAACTTAAAAGGAATTCAGTATTTTATTTGAAGTTAAAAAAAACTTTATATACAATCGACTATAATAAATGGAATATAACAAATATATAGTTATAGAAGAAATAGTATACTTTAATGGCAGAAAATATTATATATCAGTTTTTACTTCATATTTTACGTTTTGAAAAGCATATCTAACAAGTCAATAACAGTAATATTATCCTTTTTACGATTATTTCAATCTATTCAAATATATTTCTGTAGTTATATAATAACTACCATAATTTTTATATCCTTTATTTAAAATATTAAATTAATTATTGTTAAATGAGCAACGCAACAAATAACATTTTTTACAATAACGCATTTAGAAATAATATTTATTATTACAAGGTTGCATTTTCGTTAGTTAAACAACTTTTACAAAAAGTAACGATAACATACATTATATTTATGTAGCTCAATAAGTGTTTAAGAGCATAAATATAAATAAGAACAAATTTAACATTTCACTAAACATGTTCTTATCAGCCTTACAAACATGTGATACTGCAATCCCCAGATAGTACATAATTTAATTACAACTCGCGTGCATTCATGACAATGCTGTATAATTGAAAAAAAAAGGACGAAATTGTGTTGGAAAGGGAAAAATGCAATTATTCTGTCTCTAAAGACATATTAATTTCCCTTTATGTAATCAAATTCATTTACTTATTTAATAGAAATTTTTTTTAATTAAAATTGTATCATAAAATCCTCGGATTAAAGCATTAACGTTTTATTTTACTTTTCATATTTTTTCTTTGTTTAAGAAATTTTCTACTTTTCGAAAATATATATCCATTACATTAGATATTTTTTTTAAAGCAAGGTCTGTATGTTTTTTGAATTGATAATACAGAAATAAACGTTATACAAAAGCATTTGATAATTGCTTAAATACACATATCATGCAGAAAAGGAAGTAAAAAAAATGATATTTTTTAAGTGTAAGTTATTCTACTGAATGAGCATTGAATGCAAAAAACAAGGTAAAAAAGAAATTAACGAAGTAAAGAGACCAGATAGAAATTTAATGGACGAAACTATTGTACGGAAAATAATGCTGTGCAATGCATTAGATAGTGCCTTTTTCATGTTTATGCTTAATCGTATAATCAAGTTTAAGTAGTTCAGTAATATTATAACTAAGTGCCATAGTAAGATTTCAGCAATATTATGGTACTATACAAATTATGTATAATGCTTATAAAATGTGTATAATGTGTGATCTAATGTTGTATGGTACGGAAAAAATTTGCTCAATATTTGAGTTGAATTAATTTCATTGAAAAATATATATTTTGGAAGAAAATTGTCTTTTTTTATTATAATTCGAGAGATAAACAATTTCAATTAACTAGCGTTTATTTCTGATTTTACATCTGCTTAAGTTACATCTGCATAAAATTTTTAAAAAAAAATTGGAAGCAATGAATGAAATTACGTTAAAATAAATGATTTGAAAAGAAAAGTCCTCACAAGAAAAGTAAAGGCTTTTTATCTTTTAAAATCTGCTTCCTCAAGATGTGAGTCTATCACATAATTGCAATGAAGTAGTAACAAAACTGTATTAAATAAAAAATTTAAAAAAAAAAAATATTAAATATTACTTTTGTCCTAAATATGGTGTCTTCTCATTTGTTACTTTTTATTTTATAATCTTGATATTGAATAAAATTTAACATCTGTTTCTAAATTCTAAAATTCCTTTTAAATTTTTTTCAGACAAAAAGCTCTTGCAAACTTCGCAATAATTTTAAAAAGCATAAACGTCTGTTTTATTTATTATAAAACAAATTTTTAAAAACATAATAACTTCCTTTTATATGTGTAATATAAATTTTTAAGCTGTCATTATCAAAATACAGAATTATCAATAATTATTTCTTTGTTAACTCATAAAATATGAAATCAAAAGGTCAACTTTTCATTCACTAAGATTAAAATTATTTCAGTAAAATTAAGAAATTTCTTTGAAATGCAGTTTTTGCATTCAATACTTTGTCACTTTATTCCTGGGCAAATTTTAAGTCTTATTATTGATTAATATCAAGAATATCAGAAATGTATTCCTTAAGCTAAAGTTCACTTTACATTATAACTTTTCTTGTATTATAAGATATGAAAAATCGATATTAGATATTTAAACCATTAATTAAGGCTTACAATGATAAAAAAAAATGACAGTAATAAAACTAAAATCAATCGCTTAGATGAAAGGAACAATTTCTTCATATTTTTTGGCAATACGCCAGGTCAAGTTTCCTTGTGCTGAGGGGATTATTCGACAAATTAAGTATATCAGCCTGTCAATACCTCTCAAAGTATTTAAAAATCAATTCCCCTCAAACCATAAATTACAAGTTCACCATTGTGGATGTTATCATTAGTAGGTTTTGGTCTTTAATCTTTCCATTCGTGTTCCATGAAAAAGACCTGTCGATAAAAGGTATTTAGACGATCTAAATTTTCGTAACGGGAGATGAGAAAAAAGAAAGAAAGAAAATGATAGAAATCCGGAATCGGTAGGAGCGTCAAACACACCTGGTGCTATAAGAAGACGAGCAATTCGTATTGGCAACAGATGGCGCTGAGGAGCTCGTTAGTTGAAGTTACAGTTGCGAGAAAATAAAGATGGACACTTTGTAGGAGATTTGTAGGGTATTTTATCACGTGTGATTTATTTTGTCTATTTTTCTAAAGCTTATGAATTTTTCTCATATTTTGAATGAAATAATTGATAGATAAAAAGGAAGACATAGGATCGCTGAAAATTTTATCTGTCAATTTAACCTCCTAAGGAATGCATGCTATTAAAACTATTTGCAGGCATTTTTTTTCACTGTTAGACTAAGATTAATTATCTTGAAAACCGGATAGTTGCTATAAAATTAAAGAAAAAAAATATTTTGAAGACATAGTATAGTATTTAAACTTAGTTTTGTGATTAAATTGTTATTTAGTATTTTATTTCAATAGTTTTTAAAATAAAATTATCTTAGATATTCTTTACGATATTTAGCTGTGTTTTTTAATATCTATTGTATACGGACTTAGATATATTAAATACGGACTTACCATCTATCACGTGATACGTTTTTTGAATATTTTGGTTTTGTATCTATCAGGCGAATATTCTCTCCGTAATTTTCTTAAAAACTAGGTTTTTGTTCCAAAAAAAAGGAAAAATATTTAAAAATACTCGCGTGGATTTAAAATCATTTCCCCAATTTGACAGTGTTTGTGCTAAATCTCCACCATTATTTCTATCCCGTTATTTTTGAATTACTGACAACGTGTATTAAGCTTTAACTTTCTGCAATATATTTTTTTCCTGTATTGGAATAAATATTATAGAATAAGTATAAATTAACCCAATTTTTAGCTATACTAATTCATAATAATAACTGAAAAAAGAAATTCAATAAATTTCAATTTTATTTTTTGCCAAGTTTTCTGACCTTTTATTGTTCTCATAGCTCATTTTTCTTGTAAAAATATTTATAATAAATTATATTGTTACTAGTTTTTCGTAAGTAGCTTCTAAATTATATGTTTTGGCTGAATCAAACTTATGTTCGTAATTCATTAGTTAGGTTTGGTTTTTTTAAAAAGTAAGCAAATAATGTTTCGTTTCTGTTTGTTTTGAAAAGAATGTTTTTAACCAAATGTATTTTAGATTACTTTAACGAAGAAAAAACCCTACTAGATTATACATTCATGTTTGAAGTGACACTACTACGAATACAGCAAATATCAGTAAAAATTAATTAGAAACCTAATTATCTCTCAATTTTGAACAAATTTGCTTTTAAACCTTTTGGTAGCATTTCCTTACACTGAATGATTTTCATTAGAATGAAATTTAATTTAGGGCAATCAACTAAGTTTCATTATCTTATGTCTTTAAATTAAAATAAGAGTTTACCGAATTATGAGTTTTTTTGAGAGTTTAATAAAAATCCGCTAGCTCTTATTTTGGTTTAATTAAAAAAATACAAATCAACTAATTAAATTAGCAAACAGTTTTCGTAGATATGAGAAACTGGCAGCAGTAAAGCAATGATGATTAATGAGTAAGCGACGAAAAAAATTACATTTCCTGGATAAGCAAATTAAAAATAGAAAAAAAAAAGATTAAAACTAGTCTTATTCATCACAGCATTAGTAATTCCAAAATAAATTAGCGCAGTTCTGACAGGCTACCTCTGAACTTTTATAGATTGCGTTAGATAATATTTATTAATGACTTTATTACTGGAGTTAGTTGGAATTAATTCCACTTTCTTGGCAACTTTTTTCCCTTTCTTAATTTTCTTTGGGAGTAATTGATTTCATACAATAATCTAAAGTGAGGTTGATTTTTTTAGATGTTTTCTGAGACATTTGAAAAAAGACCATGCCTTAATACTTTTGCGGAGAAAGGCGCTTATTTTGTTAAAAAGACGATAAAGAATGCATTTATTATTTTAACTATTTCGTTGGCCAATTATTAAACAATAAGTTATGCTCTCTATAAAATGGGAGGTTTAGTTGATTTTTGTTTCCTTATGTGATCCTTGGGGAGCCTTAATATGCAACGGATTTTAAGGAACACACGATAAATGTTTTAATAAGATAATCCGAAGTGAGGTTGATTTCTTTTAGCTGTTTTCTGAACCATTTGCAAAAAGTCTATGCTTTAATACTTTTGAAAAGAAAGGCGCTTAAGAATGCATTTATTATTTCAACCATTTCGTTACTTTTATCAATTATTTTGCCAATTATTAAACAATGAGTTATGTTCTCTATATAATGAGAAGTTTAGTCGATTGTTGTTACATTATGTGAGCCTTGGGGAGCTTTAATATTCAACTGGTTTTAAGGAATACATGATAAATCTTTTGATACAATAATCGAAAGTGAGGTTGATTTCTTTTAGTTGCAAAAGTCCATGCTTTAATAATTTGGTAAAGGAAAGCGTTTATTTTGTTAAAAAAAATGAAGAAAACTGATTAAGAAGACATTTATTATTTTAATATTTCCGTTACTCTTAAAATAGTTTTGCAAATTATGAAACAATAAGTTATGTATTCTATATAACGTAAAATTTAATGGATTGCTGTTACATTATGTGAATGAATTAAGAAACTTTTATATACAACGGATATTAAAGTATACAAGATTAATTTTAGAAATTGTGGATCAAATAGATTTAGAATTGTGGATCAAAGTTCGTGAACCATGTATAAGCTGCCCCTATAGCACTATCGTTTTTAATTAAGTGCATAAATTTTTAAGTTTTTTTTAAATACATATATTTTTAATATGCTTTCATTCACAAAAACAGATAGCGGAGAAAAACAACCAAAACTCCTTACTGTCTTCATAGAGATTATAGTTTTTCTCTCAAAACACCACTCTCTGAAATTTTTCTCCTAAACAGTTTCAAATCTGGCTTATCATTATATTAGCATCATTCATTGTTAATCATTCCTTTCATTGTTAATCATTCCTTAACATTACTAATTTTTTTAATGGAAGAAAGTAAAACTAGGTAAACATGAATTATGTATAGACAAACGATTGAATTCGTTTCTGTATAAGATTTCTCATACAGTCTGATTTTCATTCAACGTTCAATTTAATTTCATTAATGCAGTTTACATTGAAGAAGATTCCAATAAAATATAACCGATTTTTTAATAGCCATTCTATTTATGTTTTTAATAGAAGTAGAAATATGACTTCAACATATGGTTTGAATTAAAAAAATACTCCGTAATTTTCTTAACGATTATATAATAAAGACATTGAATAAAGTTTGTTTGATGATTTGTTAGTTTTAGGTGCAGTGTTTTTGTTTCCTTCGAAATTTTTTTTGTAATAACCATTGTAAATCTAAGAGTAACACTTCTTACTCTTAGCTCTCTTTAACTTAAATTAAGAGAATGAAAAATGAGGTACAAAGTGGAGAATGCAGCTCAGTTGTAATTAAATTTTTGCATTTTGTTATACTAATTATAATTTTTTGTGTTCTATTTTATGTTTAATTTATTTCTATCTTCCATCTAAATATTTTATTTTAAAAAAGCCTGATTAGCCAACAATGTAATATTTACGAAATTCGCAAATGCTTTTTCGGTATAAAAATAGACAAGGAACTTCATTTTGCATTCCTAACACTAATTTTTTTACTTGAAACACCATTTGTGGAACTCAATTATTTATTAAAATACCTGACTTTTTTGCCTAAACCCATAAAATCATTGGAACATGTTAGTCAGAAGTACATAAATCGTATTCCTCTAAAGGCATTTGTAGAAAATTATCACGTGGTTCATTTAAAGTTCATGTTTTTTTTCTCTTTTTTAAATACACGAACCTGAAATTACTAAGTACATAACTCAAACTTACTTCTCTTTTACTCCAAAAATACTTTTGTTTTGTTTTTTATTTATTTTTTTATTTTTGCTCTTATATGTGAGTTCAAGTAATATTTAGTCTCAAATCGTTCCTAGTTTAAATATACGCTACATCTTGACGTATTGAAATCAATGAAGGAAAATAATATTGATTATATAAATAACGACTATTTCTTTTAGTACTCTGAAATAAAGCTCTTTAATTAAATATATAAACATATTTTATAAATCCTTCTATGAATGAATAGATGTATGAATGGGCCTGCCCTATAAACGGGTGTGACGTATGGTGTGGCGGAAGTCGAATTCATGGCCATAGATGGCGCCACTAGAAAACAGGAACAATCGCACTCCCTAGGCCTAAACAGGCATACGTCAACAACATAAATCCTTCTTAAATTTTGTCACATTTGTTAAGATGATTTTTACAAAGAGTTCTGGATTATAGAGTTCATTAAATACATTGTTTTCTTTAACCAAAACTTTCTGAAGTCCAGTTATCATTTGTATTCAAGGACCAATTAACTTTGTAAAATTTACTTCACAACTTCGAAATATCATATTTGTTTAAATGTAGCAGAATGGATCGAAACTAATTGTTTTGATTATTAAATAAATAATCTATCTTAGGAAAATCAGGACATTGATTTTTCTAATAATATTATGAATGAATATTATGAATTAATTTAAGCAATATGAATATAAACAATATTCTAAACAATACACAAGTAATGCTACAAAGGCAGATTTATTTCAGTTTCGGTTCTATAATTAAAAACCTTCCACAGCCCCGATACATCGAAGGAGAGAATGAATTTGCTATTTTGTTTTCTCAATACTGAAGAAGCAGGTTCTTGATTATGCAATCGAAACACTAGTATGTCTCATTTGTTGTATTGTTTGTGCTTTGTTCACGCTGTGCAGTATTATGGCATAATGAAACTAAATCAATATAAAACGCAGAATGAGAGAAAAGCATGGTATCGTGACTTGACTTAGAATTTTAAAATGCTACGTCAAATGTTCATCGCAAAATAAGGCAGCGTGAGCCAATATTTTCATAATGACTAAGTTACTTTAAAGAAATACGTATTTTATGATTGCACTGTTTAATAATGTAATGTATAACTTTTAATAAGTCTAACAATATTTATATTATGATTAAGTTACTTTTATAAAATGCATATTTATGATGGCACTGTTTAATAATGTAATGTATAACTTTTAATAAGTGTAACTTCACTACTCAACTATATTCAACCCTGTTAAGACCATTAACTCATCTAATAATAATTACAAGTTCCATTATTTAAGAATAAATTCATATTTTATAAGATAATTCAATCAATTACTGAACATTAATTTCAAACAATTTTGAGTAACTCTACAGCAATTCGTATAGTATTGAAGAACAGAAAGCAAAGACAATATAGATGAACACGCTCAAGACAAAGTAAAACATAATTCACTTAAGAGTGTGTCTTCCCGAGTTCTGAACTGTTGAATTAATTCGCTATTAAGCATTAAGTTACAGACTTGATGAAACAATACGTTTATTCAAACTCAATAAAGTCGAAAACCATGCATAAGAATGTAAAAATAACAATGAAATTGGGTTAATAATGAAAAAAAGAATTACCATTCACAAGCATTATTGCTGAAAAATTTGATTCCCCGGCAGCATTTTCAGCTAAACACGTATAGTTCCCGTTATGACTTCTTCCAACACTGCTAAAAACTAAAGAAGATCCCATGTGTCCCATAGACGTTTCTTCTATGTTTAACATTTTTTTGTTAAGAGTCATACCATCCTTAAGCCATCGAATTGTGATTGGAGGATCTCCTGTCAAGACGCTACATGTAATAATTACATGCATTCCCTCTGCTAGTGACTTTGGAAAACCAAAAGGATTGATAACAGGCCTTTCTGTTGAAAAAAAAACAACTTTATTTTATATATTACATATATTTAGAACTTAGTTATATATATCTTATATATAGTTATATATATTATCTTGTATATAGTTATACATGTTATCTTATATATATTTAAAACTCAGAAGTTTAAAACTATTTGGCTATTACAAATGCAAATATTAAAGTTTATTTATTATAATTTGTTTTCTTGCTCTTACGTAATTATTATTATTATTCAGCGGGGATGTAGGGAAAGAAAGCGAAGAAAAAAAATTACAATAAAGTCAATCTCAATAAACCTATTGCGGAAGTACACTTTTTCGCCTACAAGTGACGCACGTGTTTAGCATGATCCATACTAACCCCTTTATTTCAAATGAAGTTATTTCGTTTGATTAAAAGCGTTGAAAAAAAGAAAATTTCTCGATTGGATACCATAATCAATTTATGTGTATTAAAAATAAGAAGTGCATGCACTGTAAAAAATGAATTATCAAATTTCACGAATCTTTCTTTGTTTTGGACGAAATCCTTTCCCGGCATATGCTCCGAGTTTAAATTTCGTCAAAGAAATGAAATAACTATTGTCACTTCTCTAAGGAAGCGAATTTCGTCAATAATTTAGAAATATTTCTTCATTCTATTGTTTAACAAAAAAAAAAGGACTCGTAGTGCCTAATGCATTTAACTTTTATATTAATTAATTTATCGTGGGCACCATATCGATGGATAAATGTCATCTTAACACAAGGAAGACATATGAAACCGAGAGAAAAATTACCGATACCTGAAGTGAGATTCGAAACAGGGGTCCTTGATCATCATCAGAACTCCTTGGCCGCCATACTGGCTTGTTGTCTTAATTCTTCAACTTATTTTCGATCATTTAGTCTTTATCTTAGTTTAGTCATTGTAGTAAAGACCCTACAGTGTACTACGATGTGGTTTCAAGTTGAGGAAGCATTTTCGTCATACAGTTGAGAGTTTCCGTTTCGTCACGAAATAACGTGATTTCGTGAGAAAATGATTCTCAAAATTAACAAAAGGATTGTTCAAGGATTGTTGAATCGTCGAAAGAGAGAATTTTACTTTCGAGAATATGCAGTTTTGAAGAAAAAAAATCAGGTTTAAAACATCTAGTTCTGGTTAATTATCCGATTATTTTTTCGTTCGTTTTTACGAACAACACTAATTCAAGTACAATTTTTGAAGCAGAATGACAAAGAAAACGCATTTTGTTGCAAAACGTGATTTTATACAAAAATGTACCCAAAAGTATACACACGCTATTTAAAAAAGGGACTTATTACTCATTACAAACCACAGTGAATTTTGGAGCTTATTTTACGAAAACTAACTATATTCATATGAATGAACTCATTTTCTAATTCAAAGTTTATAAAATTATGAGGACAATTTTTATTTCCAAAAGTGCATTGTGTGCTTGCCGTTAGAGAATTAAAACATATAAAAATTAATGAAGCAATAACTTTTGAAAAATTTCCTTGTCTCATTAATAAAAAAATACGTAAAATTCATTTAAAATTTCGTATAACTTAAATACACTTTTGTTGTTTTATATTTTTAAAATAAAGTTGTATTTTTATTCGTCAGCTGAAAAACCAGCAGTTTCATAAATGTTACCAACATTTTGTTCAAAAAAAACATATTAAAACATCATAACATATTTTCAGATTGCATTCTCTTATATATAAGGACTGAATTAATTAAAGATAAATTTTATACAGACTTCAATCGAAAACAACTATGTTATTATCAGTCAAATATCTTGGGTAGAAGTTTCTAATAATTTTTATTCATCGAATAATACTCGAAAAGCTTTTTTTTTCTCCTTATTTTCGATTAACTTAAAACAAAAACCTAAAACTAAAAGTTATGATTGTAACAGATTTTTTCCTCATTAAGAGAATTAATTAACAAAACTTAATTAGATATGATGTTAATTAAGTAACCACAATAAAGATGAACTTTCAAATTAACTTAAGAAATCGATTTAGATGTTAATTTAGAAAGATTTAGTCAAAAGAAAAACTGCATAAAAAGGGTTTACTTGTCTCCTGAGAAGGTTTTGAGCGATTCTACTAATAAGTTTTCGCTTATATCATTTGCATGCAATTAATTTAACTTTTTATTTTTCGCTCAAATTTTTTTAAACCTTGCGAATTTTCTTAAAAATATGCCTGGTAAGCGTTTCAATATAAATTTTCTGTACTTAATTATAGAATCTGTACTGTAAATTAATATTAAGTAAAAAGTGCATTATAGTTATAACTTTTTATTATGATTTTTTGCTTTGTTATTCCAGTTATTTTGACTATTTAACTTGAAAATGAAGCATTAAGCACGATATTAGGTACTGAAATGTTTTAATATTTCAGCATTCGAGATGTTTTAATATTTTAACAGTTTAAATATTATTAATAATATGAAAATTATATATTTTATATTTTTCTTTTATATAAGTTTCTGAGTGATGTTTTAATGCTTAAAAAATAACTGATACTACGAGTTTCAACGCTAAAAAAATGATTTTAAGCTTTCAATAGGAGTCAATAGGAAATTAATATCAAAAGTGTCATTTTTTTTATATTTTTTTCTATTTTTTAAGAAAGTGAATTTCACTTTATTTATAGTATCAAATACCGCTTCGTTTTTTTTGTTGCGCAAACAAGAATCGGTTGCTGTATTCAAGATTGTTTCAATTTGCTGCATTTGCAATTTTATGCAAATTTATTTTAATTAGACGCTATATTTAATATCTAGTTATTCTTTTTGTTTTCAGCACTTTTCAGTAACAAATTGTTTGATAATTGTTTGAAAGAAGATGGTTTAAGCATTTAGTTTTAAATATTAATTTTTAAAATTACATAAACTAGCATAAAAATGATTGGATAATTAGTAAGTTAGAATTAATTATGTGTTGAAATTTACTTTGATGCTCTGTTTCAAAAATATGAAAGTTATTATCATTTTTAAGGAATACTAATTGTATATATATCTATATATATATGGATAATAACTTTCATTCATATTTTTATTAATGCCAGACATTATGAATATTATTTTTCAATTTGAAGTGCATTTAAAGAACTATGATAAATATTTATTTCCTAAAAAGTAATGGAAACGAGTAGTGAAACTGTAACTCGTTGTAACTATAAAGTTAATTATAGTTTTTGATACATTTGTTAAAATTAATATATATTGTAAAAGGAACAATAAATTAATTAAAAATAGTGCTTTTTAAATTATGAATTAAAACTATTATGAATTAATTATATAAAACTATATTAATTAATACTATATGAATTAATTCTAATTGCATCGAGTTATAAGCATCAATAATATTAAATGCAAATCATTCAAGTTATTCATCAGAAAAATAAATTTCAGCATGTGATTTGGTACAAAGCGTATTGAAATATAAATGTATTTATGTTCCATTATTTTATAAAAGGCAGTTCTCAATATGTTTGTATGCATCAAATTTGTCAACATCAAACTTGAAATTATTGGATGTCTTACTCATAACTCGAATATGCAGTTCTCTTTGGGCGCGTTCTTTCTGTTTGTTTACTGCACTGCAAACATAAGTTCCACTATCTGTTTCTCTAGTGACATCTTTAATGTAGAAACTTCCGTTTGTATTAATTTGTTGACGTTCATTGAATGGAAGCTCCTTCCCATCTGAAATAAATCAATAGAAAATACATTTATTACCTTGAATCATGTTTTGAATGGAACAAAGACTTGAATATAATGTGCTTTCGAAATTTTTACGTATTAAAATACAGTAGAAAAGACCCTCACATTAGGAAAGACATTAGAATCACTTTGAAAGATAAGTTGATCTCAGTTCTAAGTTTGAGCTATTGATAAATTAAACATTCAATTCCAATTTTAATAATTAATAGATAAAGATAATTAAAGAAAAAAAATATTTCTCAAAACTATTTTTAATTTACTGCGTATTCAAGTTTTACAATTGTAGAAGTTTAGTATTTTTCTTTCCATTTTAAATTCTCAAAATAAGTTTAACATTCCAATCTTTAACTCCTCTCGAGACATTTCTAAGCATCATTTTTTTTCTTTTCTTTATTTCGATACAAACAAACTAAGAAATAAAGTCATTTTGTAAAATTTCGTGAAATTTGAAAGGAATCTGTTTAAAAATGTATTATGATAAAATAGCAATATTATCCCTGAGGAGCATTTTTGAGAGTTTAAGTTAGGATTTCTGGAGTCCTAGATTGATCTAAGAGATAATTGGAAGTAAGTGGAAATTATATTGGTTGTTGTTTATTTAAGAATTGTTCTAATTATTCAAAAATCATGTCGTAAAATCACACGGCTGCATCATGGTTGGTCATAGTAAAAATTTTCCCGTTACCGATCGTAATAATAAAATATATGCCCGTAAAGCTGCCTAGGCAGCATGGATTCTAATCATAAAATAAAGTTATGCAGGTAAAAGTTATCTTCAGACCGAACCTTGACGTTGCTGGACACTCAGGCGAGTTTTTTCTTCATTTTCTTCATTCAAGGCGGATTGTGAAACGAGGTTAAGAAAAGCAAAGTGCTGCCATCTGTCGAAGAGTGAGAGAGTTGCGCTTGCTTTTTCCGTTGTCACCAATGTAGAGGGACTGCAAACGAGATTGTTCATAAGCGCCTGGTATGCTCAAACCTCGGACCTTTCTGTTCGTAGCCTAATGATGCAACTCACTTGGAAAAGGGCGTATATTCCAAAATTGAGGTAAGACACTTATTCGAATAACAATATAAATTAACCTTCAACTCGACTTACTAACCGTCAACTCTACTCATTTCCAAGTTCCATGAAATTACATGCACTCTGGGATCGAGCACTTGCTTCCCAATGAAGTGATTTGATTTGAATCCCTACGATACAATGCAAATGTGCGAGTATGCGTTAAAATAGTTTCCGCCTAAGAAAGTTAAAGAATTCATATATTGGCTATTAATTGGTTAAATTAAATGCCAAGCTTATTTTTCTTAGCCCTACGCCTCCAAAAGAGTTGGCGAAAGTGAAAGAGTAAGAAATAATAATGAATTATAGGGAATGTGAGAGATAATAAGGAATCCGAAACACTGGCAATCATATAACGGTATTCAAACTCTATGCCAATGTGTAGAGATGTAGAGAGAATCTCGGAATATAGATTTTACTCTGTACTCAATTCAAGGTGGTAGTATTAAAAGTTTACCGATTATCTTAATGATTTTTATTAACTGAGACAAGGATTAAATAAGATAATAATTTTGTTTTTAAATGCTAGGAAATATATTATGCATGTTTTATGCATGACAGATATAAATTTTTTTCTAAAAAAGTAAAAGCTTTTACGATTCCTATGATTTTAAATATCACGGTTTAAATAACAACTGTATAACTTTAAACTTAGAATCCATCACAATAGTGAAGAAAATAAAGATTTATTTGCCAAAAACAAAAACTTTCATGAATATGTTTTGTACGTGTCAAATTACTTAATAATGCCTTTGTATTAAAATGCGAGCCTTTATCGAAAAAAATAATCTAAATTGAAGCAGGCATATACATCTAAGACTTTGTATTTGTTGGTTAGTTTAAAGAATATTTGTTTTATTTTTAGTAAAAAGGATAAAAAAAAAAGTTCTTGTTAGATAACTTCTTAGTAGTTGTAGTTCGGGAAAATATCTTTGGATGTTTAGTACCCGGGGGCTTAAAGGGGAGAGTAAAATTTTTATTTTTCATAAGATTTCAGCTTTCTTTTCCTTTTAATTTTAAAAGATATTTTACGCTTCAAATCCAGAGAGGATTTTCAGTATTCTTGGAAGAAAAAGAAAAATTAACAAATTTTAATTAATATTTCTATAAATAGCAGATGTTATAGCTTTAATTCTCTTTAAAATTAAATTGCGAAAAAATATTGTAGATTGCAGAAAAATAAATTTCTTTTGAAAAAGATAAAGCTTTGTTTTTAATAATTTCGGTTAAAAGTTATCAATTAATGCTTAACTTATAATTGAAAATTATTATTCTCGGTTATTTTGCTACGTATTAATTGAACTATGTTCAACCTAATTTCGATCATTTTTATAAAAACCCTAAATTGTTTTGTTTAAAGATAAGATAAAGAAAAATTTAAAAAAATAACATACTTCATTTATTAACAGATGTGCTTCTCAAGATTTTACGTATACTAGGAAAATGGGTAAGTAACAATTTATTTAATTGTTATTTTACTTATTCAAACAAAACAGTCAAATAACCATATATAAGAGGATATTCAGACTTTAAACTGGGAGAAAAACTGTTTATTAATTGTTTTTACTTAATATGGTTAAACAACCCGAATTTTATCTAGCTAATGAAGGCACTTAGTTTCTTGCGAATGCTTACATGTTATAGTCGAGAAAGATAATTTGTCAATCTCTTGACTAACAGAACAGAGTTCGAGTCCCAGCGTTGAAACCACACTCTTTCCTCCATAATGTTCTGCACTCCCTAATTTGTGACCCTGGGATATTAGAATACTGCTTTAAACCAAGCAGTATTCTAACAGTTCACGGTTACAAATTAGTGCTGAGAACAAAACTGTATAATACTAAACGTTCAGTATTTCCAATTTCCTACGAAAAGGGAAGCAACCTAATAAACGAATTAAACCATATTCCACAGTTCATATGATAAGGCACATCTCTAACTGTTACCTAACAATAAGCTTAACTCAATGTTCAGTTAAATTTCTTTTTATGATTTTGAAACCAAGCTAGTTGTAAATAGTTATAGTACTAGTTTTTAATCATACTAGTTCCAAGCGGCTTCAAAATCATAAAAGTAAAAACTGTTATTTTCTTACGGTAAACTTTACGGTTAATTGGATGGACAGACTGCTGCAGTTTATTTTACAGTAACTTTAAAATGAAATTCTAACTTTGTATATTTTGATTTCATTGATTATTACGTTATTATTTTGTCTAAATAAAGGCTAAGATGAGAAAAAAATATTTTGTTAAGAAAAAAAATGGCAATATCCAAGGGTAAAATTTAAAGTTTAACCCAACGAAAAAAAAATATTACATATTTTTTAAAAATTTATAGCATTTCAACAAGTTGCTGTTATTTTTCGTGAAAACTTCGTATACGTCATATCTTTAACAATATTTGTTTCATGTAAATGTATAAACTCTTTTTTAAAGCTCTGTTTTCATCGATTATATTTAAGAATTTTAATTGTAATTTAATTGCATTTAAAAAAAGTTCTTGTTATCTTACTTATTATTAGCTGTATTCGAAGAAAATTATTTCATATGTTCAGTATCAAAATATGCCCGTATATTCAGTTCAAAGTGGAATAAAAATTTTGTTTTTCATTAGCCCTTAATTTCTTTTTCTCTTAATTTTAAAAGATAATTTCATTTCATATCTAACGGGCATTTTCGGAACTTTCAGTTTAGAAAGTAAACAAATGTTAATTAAAATTTCCAAAAGTAAAAGATATTAGATCTTTAATTCCTTTTAATTTGGATTTTGAAGCGTGTTTCAGCAAGAAGGAATTTTTTGAAAAAGGCGAAGTTTTATTTTTAAGAAATTTAACTTAAAGTCAAAAATTAAAATTTAACTTATAATTAAACATTACTATATTTGTATCTTAAGTTTTATATTGACTAAATTACAAATTAAAACTATTAAGGGCATTTCAAGAAAAATATTAATTATTTTGTATGAAGATAAAATTAAGTATAACTGTATAACAGACTCTCAATTTATTAAATATTAATAAAAATAATAAGAAAAACTTCATTTTATCTTAAGGAAGTATTGATTTTTATAATCAAGTTGATTTGTAATTGATTATAATATTTCTTTCACACAACTAGGGAGGTTTCTTTGCATAAGTATAACTTCCACGACAAATGATTGAAAACTCTGAGTGTAAAATTTGTTGCTAACTCAAAAACTATGAAATTATATACATATATTGAAACTGTGTATGTTGATATGACGCCCGCTGGCTGAGTGGTAGCGCTTCAGGCTCCCGTACCACAGGTCCTGGGTTCGATCCTCAGGCCGGGCAATGTTGATTCAGCCTTTCATCCCTTCAGTGGTTCGATAAATGAGTACCAAGCATGCTTGCGAACTAAGCACTGGGGATTCCGCGTTCGGCTGTCCACCTGACCGGAACATCTGCTCCTGCACCCCAGAGCCCAAGGTCAAGAAAACTGAGATGGGCACAGTAGGCCTTGGCCCTCTATGGGCTGTCGTGCTACTGAGTTTCGTTTAGTAGTATAGTTATATGTTGATATAATAATATATTGATATAATATATATTGATTATATAGATTGAATATATTATTTAAAATACTCATGGAAGATACATTGCTGTGTCATAAATTGTAATATCTACTCAATAACTTTGTTAGGTTGCACTCATGTTAAAATATGGAACGATACCATTTCCTAGTGTAGGGTTAAAAGCTGATTTGATGAGTCACAAGCTCACAGATTCAAACTAATTTTAACGCAGTTTTCTACAATCATTATGTGAAGCATTGTATATACAATCATTGTATGTAGCATTGTATATACAATCATTGTATGAAGTATTGCATATACCATCATTGAAGCACAGTATATACAATCGTTGAATGAAGCATTGTATGTACAATCATTGTATGAAGCA